GGGGTGGGGGGGGGTTTAGGGGGCCCCTGGAAACAATAATTAAAAAACCACACCTGTAAATGCAAAACAATTTATAACATTATAATAAATGAGCGGGCCATTGCACAGCTAAGCTCAAAAGTAGTTCCGGCTTCATTCAGTGTTGGGCCACCAAAGTTCAATCTTACCATATATAAGTTTCTAGATCTAGTTTCTAGTAGACTCATGACTCACCAGACCTTAAAAAATTATAAATCTAGATATTCTAAGTTTTCGACATGATACGTTTTTCGACTTTTAACTTTTATGTTAAAACCTTCCATCCCAGTTTGTGGATGAGTAAATACATGAAGTTTGCGACTGGTATTAGACGTGTGTCCCGTCATCTGAATAGCTTTCTGATGTGATGCAAGCATGAGTGTCTCGGGGTTTGAATGTTTTGTGCTTTTTTTCCTCTGAGAGATGTTGAAATGGTTGGTTTTTCCCAAGAAATGTGAAGGATGTTTTGGTTGACTCTTACGGTTTCTTTTTTCTGTTTTGTGAAAGATGGTGACTATCCATAATTAGTTCTGTTGTGTGATGCCTGATTAACTTTTGTTGAAGTTGTCTCTTTGGTTTTCCTGTACATAACATGCTGTTTGGGTGGTTGGGCACATTCTTTTGGTTTTTTCATGGTTCTCAAAATAAGCTACTTTTTCTCTGCGGATTCCATGGGGTTCCATTTTTGAAAGGATTTCACATGTTTCACTAGGTGTAGATCAGCAAAGGTCAAATTGTTATTCTGGACATTGTCAAGGGTATTACGAGTGGTTGTACTGCACATATAGTGAAAATTGATATTGCTGTATTTCAGGGTAGATTGTACTTTAAAACCTAGGTATAGACCTCTCAGAGTTTGTTTGTCTGATCCCCATGAACTGCTGGCAAGTTTCCTTATAAGTTGGAGTATTTTTTTCGCCTTCTTCGTATGCTCTCCATTTGGCTTTTCAATGGTCAAGTTTGTGTCCAGGGTATTTTGGTTTGTTCTTCTTCGGGGAGGTTTTCATTATCTCTATCTTCAGTTGGAGCTATCTGTAGAGCCTGTCATTGCTCTTTGTAAAAACGGTGTATAATACTGTTTTGGTGCAATATATTTTAAGCTTCCGTTTCTGACAGTAATTGTGGAGCCTCTTTAGGTTTTCATTTGATTTCCCTGTTCTTAAGTACTACCGTGACGTGCTGTGTCTGCCAGAGGGCAAGAACATCGGCGTAGAGAGTCTTTTTGTATGTCAACATGTTCATGACATCATTGAAGAAGATCAGGAACAAATAGCAATTTGGACTATAATGCAACATTCTGTGCATGTTCAGGCTTAAGTGGTGTATCCTGGTTGGTGAGGGCTCTGTTGTGGTGGGTATGCTTAGATTCTTCTTTCCTATTAAACATCTGTCGTCCCTATATCTCTCCTCCTTTTTCGTGTTTGTTGCTCCCTTGTTACACCATTAATCTTCGACACTTTTCTCTATTCATGTTGCAAATGCTGTAAAACTCTTACCTGTGAACAAAACAAACAAGAAAATAACCAAAAGAAATTCAGTTGGGTTTGGAATTTTGTATTTGTGTTTCAGAGCATCGTGGTGACGGTGTTTGTGGCTGTCATCACAGTTCTGGTCGTCTTGTTCTTTGGGATATGGAAGTTCAAGTCGAAAGGTAATTTATTTTTCCATCCATTCGTTTGTCCATCCATCCATCCATTCCATCGGTCTCTGTCCACCCATCAAGCCATCAATCTATCCATTTCATCCATCCAGCTATCAGTCCATCTGTTAGTCAGTTGGTCGGTCCGTCCGTCATCTGTCATTCCATCTGTCCATCCATCTTTCCATCCATCCATCCATACATCTATCCATCCATCCATCACATATCTATCCCTCCATCCATCTGTCCATCCATCCAGCTATCAATCCATCTGTTGGTCAGCTCATCCATCCATCCATCCATCCAGCCATCCATCCATCCATCTCATTGCTGCCAAGAGCAAAATGCTTGCTGCTAAAGGGATTTGAAAACAACATCTCATTGATGGCAAATGAAAAATGTTGGGCATGCTGATAAAAGGGTTACTTTCACTATATATATGAGAATGGAAATATTGACAGAAAATTGACATAGTGGTTAAATCTGTAAATGTTCAACTAATTCCTTAAAAAAAACAACAACTTGTAACCTGTTGTTTTTTTTCAGTTCCTACTGTAAATCTGATGTATTTTTATCCATAGAGAGCTTAATCCAAACAGTAACTCATTTTGTCAGCTTGCCTTACAAATGAGCAACTCATCATTTTAAAAATTAAGCACCCTGTAAAGAAGATGAAAGGGAACACTAGAGTAAAAACAATTAATCCACAAATTCCACAATATTATAATGTTCTTGTTGGGCCCACGAAAACCTTCGAGTCTCTCCAGAAGAGACCAAAGTTACTTTATCCAGACTGCATATTTTTGTCATACCGTTCTGATTCGGAGATCTCCTGCAGGGAGAAGAAAAATCATCTTTTGTTTGGATGCAATTCTGACTTGAAGGTCAGGCACATCCCGATAGAATGCCTGGACATTGGGGAGACCGGAAAAAATATTTAAAATGTACTTTTATAAAAATTGTTTTCCATCGTTGATCCCAACTTAATTCTTGATTTTTGGTCTTTACTAAAAAATGTAAACAGTGTTATTTTCAACTGTTAATTGCTGCTTTTAAAACTGAGTTTTTACAGTATATTTTAGAGACTTTAGCCATTTTGACTCTCAAATTAGAACCAAGGCTGTGTTTTGAACTCCCGTGAAAACAACAAACATGTGTCCTGCGCTCTCGTATGACATTTTAAAAACAGTTGCGAGAACTGTTAAACTTTACCAACGAGAAACTGGATATATATGCCTTTGTCTTTCAGTTTTACCCAGCCAAACAGAAGCGCCAAGAAGGTACAGATTCCGCAAGAGGGACAAAGTCATATTCTTTGGCCGTAAAATGCTGCGAAAGGTTTGGTTTATTCCTTTAATTTTTAATGTGTGTTTCTTGTTTGTTCACTTACTAGCTGGTGGCTGGAAGGTGCCACTGGTTGCCCCTACTTATTTCCTTCTGTTGTTTCTGTTGGTCATACATTTTTCCTACTCTTAATGATTGTTGTGTCAAATTGATAAATCAAATTCTTCTATAGTCACCTCTTTAAAATGGACACCTGCTCAACCTGGGAATGGACAAAGAAATTCCTTCCCCTCAGAGGGTTTAGACCTGTTCAAGATGCAAAATGTCCCCCCCCCCCCCCTCCCCCGCTCAGTCTTGATTTGAAATAAAACACACATTTGGTTCCATCGGCTCTAACTCACATGTGGTTCCATCGGCTCTAACCGTTATGCCATGCCATCAGATTGGGGGGGGGGCCTTTGGGGTAGCATTTATCTTATTCACATGAGCCCTGAGTGGTGCAGATGGTCAGGCTTGTGAAAGTGCTTAGTGACGCTCCAGCACAAGTACTTTTGTGGGTGGCCAGATGTGTGAAATTAATTTGAACAGGGCCTTGCTGCCCTGATTATACCGCCGTATGGCCGGGAAGAAAAGTTCCTTGAATTGTTGTTACATTCACAGTAGGGATGGCATTGGTTTGTTGTGCTTATTACACAGATGGGTGGGGCTACGGGGGGAAAACAAAGGAGAGATTGGATCATTTTTGTTTTTAATTGGGTCAAACAGGTTTCCTATGAATGCAAGCACTGGTGACAATGGATAAAGAAGTATGACTCATACCATTATCAAATAGGCTAGGATAGCACTAGGAGGGAGGTTTGAAGTTTATACCACTGCATGACAACTGGACAGGCGGTCCGGGATCCACCATGTTCGGGCTGAACCCCCCCCCTCCCCCTCCTGCTTTCTCTTAAACGTAAATTCCTGGATTTTTTTTTTCTGGCTCCCTTATGATTTTGTCTTGGACTGTATTTTCTTTGGTTCATTTATTACTCAAACTGGTAAGTGCATCTTCTACAACGCTCCTCCCCTCAGGTGAAGAGCTTCACTCGGAACACGGTGGGTCCCTCTTCGAGCGGCACCTTCAGGCGGAAGCCAAGTCACAGGCTTATGATTTCTCGCCTCCGTCGGTGAGTTACATTTCACCATACCTTGTGATAAGACGCGCTAATAATCCCAGCAGGGTAAATTTTACAGGAGAAGCGAAAAAAACCCAACTGAAACTGTTATTTGGTTTCATCACACAGCAACAAGCAGGCAGCTTGCTGGTTGTTAGGCTTTATTTCAAACTTTGTTGGAAAATTCAGACCTTTCCTTGACTAAGTGTATGAGATGGATACAAATAAAATGAAAAATTAAAAAAATTTTTGTGGGTTACCTCATCTTATCACAAGGGCGATAAATTATGTTTTATTATTTTTATTACCAAGCTTTTCCTGCATAAATAATGTATGAGAACTTGGAATAAAATGTTTGACTTAATATTATTGTAAAAGGTTGATTTGAGGAAAAATAGTTGTAGAGACGGATAGAATACATTAATACGGTAGAGAGAAATTGAATTTTTAACACTGTTTTGTAGTTTTTATGTGGTATTATTTTTGGGTCAAGGCAATACCGCGAGCTACGTTGGATATCTCTACATAATTTTGAAAAATAAACATTTTTGCTACAAATTGAAATAAAACCTGTCATATGGCCTATTTAAGTCATGTTATTGAAATAGATTGGGGGATGTAGATGGGAAATAGTAAATTCAGGAACATGGAAAGATTTAAGATAATAAAAGTGTGGCATAGACAGCAATTAAGCTTTTTCAATATGTAAATGTCCAAGGTTGGATGACCACAGCTGAGAAAAAAAATGATGTGTTCGTTCAGTCTGTCCTCATTGCACACTAATATTGCTTATTCATATATAACAGGATGGTGTGGAAGAGACTGTTATGTAGGTACGTTAGAAATGTCTTTTTTAAAAACTGAAAGCAGTTATTTTTTAAAATTGTAAGTTTTGGTAGGGAAAAAAAATATTTTCTGTTTGTCGATGTAGGTGTGTCTTTAATGTAACAAACTCTGATTGACTTTGGAGACAATATATTGTTCCAATAATAAAATTGTTTCTTTCGTCGACAAAATGTTCAGATGTACTAAGAATAGAAAGGAAAGTTGTTTAGGAGAGAGAAAGAAGGTGTCATTCTTTTTAACAACTCTACAGTATGTATTTTTTCTTTCTTTTTTTCTTTTCAATATCTAGAATTAGAACCTTCACAAAATATTTCTTGAGCAGAGGCAATCAATATCACACATAACAAAAACTGCAATTAAAAACATAAAAAAAATATTGCACTTATTGCATTTACATCTCAACAGTTGACCGACAGTATTATTTCATGTTGTTTTTGTGCGATGTCAGGTTCTTGGCTCAGCGCAAGGAGACCAGCAAGCCCTCGCTGCGCCAGCAGAGTCCCCCTCAGTCCTTCCTGGAGGCCGACTGGTCAGACATTGAGGATGACCACAGGCTGCCCCCTGAGGTGCTCTACATGCTGCGTAGTGTTAGGTGAGAGTAGATTAAATAAATAAGAGAAGAGAAGAATGGATAAAAGAAGATGGGATGAGAGAAGAGAAAAAGAAAGCAGAGAAGAGGAGATATGAGAAGATAAGAAATAAAAAGAAGAAAAAAAAGAGTGAGAAGATATATTCGAGAAGAATGAGATAAAAGAAGAGAAAAAAAGAGAAGAGAAAGAAAGAGAAGTGAATAGTGAGAAGATATATGTGAGAAGATAGATAAGAGACGAGAAAAAAAGCAGAGAAGAGAAAAGTAAAGTGTGTTGAGGGGAAGTATACTACATTCTGCACAGTGTAAAGTAAAGAAAGATTAGAGAAGGGAAGAGAAGATGAGAAAAGAGAAGAGGTGAGGTGAGGTGTGGTGTGGTGTGGTGTATGGTTTGGTGTGGTGTGGTGAGATGTGGTGTATGGTGTGATGAGGTGTGGTGTGGTGTGGTGTATGGTGTGGTGAGGTGTGGTGTATGGTGTGATGAGATGTGGTGTATGGTGTGGTGTGAGGGGAGGGGGTGGTGGTGGTGAGGTGAGATGAGGTACTCTACATGCTGCACAGTTTTAGGTAAGATTGAATTAGATGAGATAACATCTTATTTATGATAAACTGAAATATAGATTATATAACAGAGTAAATGTGTTGTTTTGAGACTTTTAAACACCCATTTTGATTTGAATGACCTGAAGTATAAACTGTGTAACAAAAAATCTAGTTTTTGTTTTTTAAAAACTTTTATACAAGTGCCTAGAGCTGTGTACACATGGGAGTAGGCACTATAAAAATGATATACATTATGAAAATGATCTACATTTTTACAGACTTTTTTGTGACATACTGAAATATGCAGTTTAACTTTTAACCTTGTCCCATGTCACCTTGCTGCATTCCTTTAGGGTATTTGGTCATCTGGAGAAACCGTTCTTCCTGGAGCTGTGCCGCTTTATGGAGACCATCATGCTCCGAGCCGGCAACTTCCTGTTCAGGATAGGAGACCCGGACGACAGCATCTACGTGGTGCAGCACGGTCTGCTGGACGTGTTCATCACAGATGCCGTAAGTTTTCGAGAAGCATGGTTTGTTATTTTCTCGCTCATCGTTTTGCTCCTTGCCTATCGAAGCATCTATCTTCCTTATCTCTCCTTCCTTCTTTTCTTTGTATGTTACTTACTTCCTTTAAACACCTCTAATCTTCGACACTTTTGTTCTTTTCTCGCCCATCGTTTTTCTGCTTCTCTAACCATCATCTATCGTCCTTATCTCTCCCTCCTTTTCTTTGAAAGTGACTCCCTTGTAGCACGTTTAGTCCTCAATACTTATATGATCCAATTGTGTTGCAAGTTTCGTAAGAAACACGAAATGGAGAAGAGATACGGACGATATATATTTGATCGGAAAGAAGGAGCAAATCACATTTAGTCAGTTCGCTGAAGATTTTGTCAGAACTCCTTTCCACTTAAGTTTTTGTCTTATTTCCCCCTGCTTTGAATGACCATTATTGTGTTGATGTCCTTCTCTTTATTCACGTACCAGACTTTGTTTGGGGGTGATTGGCGGGCACGCTGGTGTAGTTTTCTCCTAATTTCCTCCCAATCATCTGTCATCCCTCTCTGTCCTTTTTAAATTTGTATGTTACTCTCTAGTAACACCTTAAATCTTTGGCACTTATATGACCCATTTGTGTTGCAATGTGTTGTAAAATTCTAACTAAAACAAAACCCTTGGAGGTAAATGAAATTTGTGCTTATTTTTTCAGACTTCTAATATTATTTTGTTGGCTCTAATCTCAGCACTTATATGACCTAATTGACAGGTGGTTGGCGAGTGAGTGCTCTGGTGCGGTTTGCTCCTCCTTTCCAAACAAACATCCATCATCTTGATCTGTCCTCCTTCATTTTTGTGTTTGTTTCTCTCTTGTAACATCTTTTATTTTCAGCACTTAATAATGTGACCTTATTGTGTGGCAAATGCTGTAAAATCCTTCCTAAAAAAGACATGACCTAATTGTGTACAAGTACCATAACTCTTACTAAAACTAAAAAAAAAATTCCTAGCTACATCAATTTACGTTCAATTTTTTTTACTTCTCTTCCCTCTCCAGGATGGCACAGAGCATCTGGTGAAGCAGGTTGCCACGGGCAACAGTATCCACAGCCTTCTGTCTATCCTAGATGTGCTTACGGTGAGAGAGTTGATTCTTTTATGAAAATAATTTTAAATGTTTTATACGGTCCAACCTGCTTTGAGCTAGAGCCACCTGTCCATGTTTTTTTCTGTATTGTGTGTGGCATTGTGGTGAAATCGGGCACTTGTCAAAGTAATGAAATTGAAGAAACTGACCTGTTCCCCTCTCATTTGGCAATTTAAATTGAATGGGGGGGGGGGGGGGGCAGTGGGGGGAGGGAGCAAAATCTTTTCTGTCCATTAAAAAAAGACCCAACATGTCTGTCCAGATTTTACAGAAAAACTTGGATCAAAGGTAAAAAAAAAAGAAAAAAAAAAATAAGTTTGCCGTTTCCAAGAACACTCAAGCTTTGGAAGTTGCCTAGTTTTGGTGGCTATTTTCCTGCTCTTTCACCCAGTTACATCAAATGTCCCGAATTCTATTCAAGATATTTGGGTACGTTTTTCATCATTTTCTGGCCTTCTCCTTGATCTTTTTCTTGTGATTGTCTCCATTCCTTGAATCTTTTTGACCCTCTGTTATCTTTCACTTTCTTGAGTGAGCATAAGAAGTCAGAATAAAAATTAAACTTTAACCCTGGTTAAAGTTGTATCATATGGTCCAAAACAGCTGTTTCTGTGTGCTCTGTGGTCACCTATAATTGTGAGACTAGGGGTTTGAGCCTTGGCTGGGTCCTATGTTTTGGCCTTGTGAAAGGCACGTTACATGAAATTCCTATTTTGCTCGACCTTTTCGGTAATGGACGTTAAAATTTGGAGGTCCCACTTTTTAAATGATCTAATAGTGTTGATGGGTGCGTTAAACCCATTCCACTTTGCCTTTTACAGGGTCACCCGGGTCCATTCAAGAGTGTCTCCGCCCGAGCTGTGACAGACTCCACCATTTTGCGACTGCCGGCCCACGCCTTCAAGTCCATGTTTGAGAAGTTCAACGAATCCACAGTCAAGGTCGTGCAGGTCGGTACCCCCAAAGAAGAGAGTTTGGCATGCTTCTTGCTAATGTGTTCCTTTTCATCTTTTTCATCAAGTGCCAAGATCTGAAACAGAACTTGATGATCATATCGTCTGCTTGGTGTGAGACTCCGCCATATGTCATTTTGAAAAGTGACGAATGACAGAGTCTAATACTGAGTAGTCGGTGTGATTGGTGGCTTTTTGTTTTTATCTGTACGGTTAGCGGGAGGTTCATTTTATACTTTACTGTGACCTGATTTTTTTTCTGGAGCATGTCGTTGATTTTGACTGAAACAAGCAAATCAAGGCATTTTGTGCAACTTCAAATATTTAGTTCTCCTTTAGGGCCTCTCTGACTCATACAACATTATAAATAATTCTCAATAACTTCAGGCCTGACATTGTAATGCAATTCAAATAATTGACAACTTTTGGCACCATTAAGAAATTGGCCAAGTGATTTGTTTGAAAGTGTAATCTGGAAAAAGTCCAGATGTGTGTGAGTGTTTGTGTGTCAGTGTGTGTGCTATGTAAGTGAAATTCATTATTATTATTATTATTTAAATCGTTTCTGTCTCTTTCCCTGTGTCAGATCATTATGATCCGCCTTCAGCGAGTGACTTTTTCTGCCCTTCACAACTACCTGGGACTCAGTAGCGAACTCCTGAAACCGGTGAGTACAGGTGTTTTTGGAGAACATTGTGTTCTTTATTGAAACAAAAAACCCCAACAAAACATACCAAGACAAGAAAGTTATGTATAAGAGTTTTATGATTTATTTGTCTTTGTCTGGTTAACTTTGTCTCTGAGGTGGAGAGAGTCAAACAATGTGGTAAGGTGAAATTCATAATGATCTAGGGTGATGGGGTTAATACTCCAACTCCCAATTTTCATGTGTGCCAAATTCTGTCACACACACACACGCACACACATGCACATGCATGCGCTCACACATACACACATACACATTCGCAAACACTCTCTCTCATTCTCTCTGTCCTCCTGTCTTCTCTTCTCTCTTTTTCTTCCCCT